AAGTAGAACTAAAAGTTCGTGTTGGAGAGCGGAAGAGTCTTTGCAGGTTACGGCGAAAGACCAAAGAAGGGAATATGTGGTCGAAAACATAAACTATTTCCCTGATGGGACAAAAGGAGAGGTAACTGTCTTTAAAAAACAGGCATATTAAAATTTTGTTTTGTAGAAAACGTTCGATTTTTTACAAAAGATATGACCATCAGGAATTTAGGGCATTACTACAAGCTAGTTAAGCTTGGACAAATAGCCTAAGGGTAAGGCGGTGCCCCTTGGATCAGCCGATGTGAAACTGAAGCCCTGGTGATTTTTCTCGCCCATGGAGGTAACTCACGCCGGGGATTTTTTATGAATGCGACTGCAGGAGGTCCGTTCTGTGGGGTTGGCACGCAGTGATTCGCATAAAACAGAAACTCAGTCCTTAAACAGAAATATTGACATGCTGAGTTTGGATGCGCCACTACAGGGCCTGAGAAGTAGCGAGGCATATGTTTTGTTCAGAGGTGTAGTTTTTGTATCCGGAGGAAAAAAATATCTTTGAAAAATTGAGCTTTACATTCTGCTGCACAAACCACCGCGCAAGCTAAATGCTTATCAAGGCGATAAGCGAAAACCACTGGAAGCAGTGTTGAGTGAGAGTTGTCAGTTGGTGAAGAGGAAAAGGATGGGTAGGGGGCGAGACACAAGTGATCAACCAGGAAGTCTAACAAATCCGTAGCGCGAAACCTGGTAATTCCTTAGATACGTAAGTGCCAAAGGTTCGAGTTGGTGAAAGTGGACGTCAAATATGGGGTCATCGGGGCCATTAGCGGTCCTGATGACGCAAGGAAGCTTCTGCGACGAGGAAGGGCGCTTACCAGTGAATATAAAACTTGTTAATTGAGCCCAAAAGCAGCCTATCCTGATGCCTGGTATCCCCAGGCTGGTGAGGCACACCATACGCACGACAGTGATTATGTTTTTCGTCGCTGGTGAACTGTGGGTGACGTGTACGAGGAAGTTAGTGTGTACGACGGTTACCAGCTCGAATTTTTTTTGCAAGTAGCTTGTCTGATCGCACGACGGTGGTGGCAGGGAGCAGAGGCTGTTCACTGGTCAACGAAGATCGCCGTCGTACATAAGGCAAAAGTGGTATAAGTTCTTGCCTAATAGGTGGCAGATAGGTGGGCGTTAAGGCAAACAGAAAGTCGTCATCCTAGACGAACCAAGGGACGTATTGACGAACGCCTAAATAAACAGTCTGAGCGAACGATTCGGGAGCTACATTTGACCAGTGTTCGTGGAGGCGGCAGATGGCCTTTATCGCCAGCTGCAAAGGCTTTCGTAGAGCAATCGAAAACCCATTAACTTAAACTCATACATTTTTAATCGTCCTATAGCACAACAATCGGTCCGACAGACTGAATGTCACAGTGGCTGAAAGACACACACATAATTTCATCCCTACACACGACGATAAACTTCTGCCTCATTCGTCCGTGACTTCATATCGTAAACCCCTCTCACCACCTTTTCATCCTGGTGTGGTTTCGCTGGTTGAATAATATCAGGGACAATATTTTAAATGCTATTGAATATCTGGTGCGCCTCGACAAGACCTCCACACAAATTTGCAGAGCAATGACGAAATAATTGATTGATATTTTCATACGACCAGGCTCGGGCAAAGCTCCGCTCCATGACATTGTGCCATTTTAAAAACCTTATGACAGCGATGAATTGCACTTACCAGACCTGGAAACTGCACTCGAAGTAAGACCAAACACGATTTCTACGAGGACACAAAAGTTTTCTTTGGCAGGATTTTTTGAGCGTCTTCGACGGAGCGTTGTCACAGTGGCGTTAACTTGGTGTCCGATGCAATTTCTGAATTAAAAAGGGTCGATAGGATTTACAGTTTAGTCTGCAGAAATAGTGAAGACGTGCGATGCCGAGCCGAAGTTTAAATATGTAGTAAGGATTTGGTTCTCTCTGCATTTGCTACCGGATCCCGTCTGTCGGCAATATAATAATCTAAACGAGAGTCACCTGGATATAAGCAGAATCGTTCCTGTTCTACAATATCTAGCTTTTCCTCAAATTGGTGGTAGTTAGTTGTAATTATTTTACCAACCCTGCCGCCCTCCCCTAGCGCACGAATCCACTGCTCAGTCGAAAACGATAAGATTAAGAAAAGCAAGAACGGTTCTGCCCGAGGCTACTTTGGAGCTCTGAGAGTTAATGGTCATTCTCTAGGAATCTCGTTACAGATTTGGTAGGCAAGATTTCCTTTAGTTTACTACAGACGAAATTTAGAATGTCAGCACGATATTTACTGACACTGGTTAAGGTCCTGTCTTTATAATATTGGGTAGATATTTGCTGTCTTCCATTCGAATGGTAGCCTCACCAACTCAAATGCAGAAGAGACTATGTTTCAGTGATTTAAAAAGTTTGTTTGCCAATTTGTTTCATAACCTCGCCGCTCTGCTGTCTGGTCACGACAGACGGTTTCGTTGAAAATGCTGGTATCTATGCATAGAAATCTCGACCTACACAATAGATGCTTTATAATACTTTCCTGTTACGGCAACGACATAGTGGTTTATTTCTAAAACTAGCATCTACAGATCGTTAGTTTCGGAGATTAGACACTGAGCAGCTCGAGACATATTGATGTTAGGAACGCATAAGGAATGAGGATACGAGACATCTCCGGTAAATGACTACCAGGAATATATTATTTGTATGTTCAGCATTCTTATATAGGCCGATGTCAAACTGGATCCTCTTAAAAGTTTGTATCTTAAATCTCTCCATTTCTTCCGCTCCACTGACAAAAAATCCCGTTGAAAAATGCTGTGTGATGAGAGCTCCGGAGTGGGTTTTTCCAGCTTACCGGTAGCTGCGCCTGTTTCTCATTTCAAGAATCAACTTTTAGCTATCTTGGTAGACTGGGTGCTCCTCGTGAAAGCCTCTGGGACGATGGTGTTCTTGTCCTCTACTAAAAGGTATATAGGTTACCACTCAGCTGGTCCCGTCTCATAGGCAGTCCCTTGTTCGTGGTCTTGGAAGCAGGTTAAGACGCATCCTTTATAACGAGGCATTTACTGCGGTCTGCTCAAGGGCCATGCAGATTGTTCTTATGTGCAGCGACTACTTTATTGCTGTCTGCGTTACAGTAAGCTTCGGATACTGAGGAAATTTCAGTGCTATATGTTGTGCACGATTCCATCTTACCAAAGCTTCTAGATCAACTGCGACCTCATTGCGTTTTGCGTAATTCGGTTGCCTTGTTGTCAAACTCCGTGTCGTCATGATAACAATCCGACCAGCTTTGTCTTTTCAGGATAGACCAGAAGGTTTCTCCGTTCTCTGAAATCCTTCCACATCGTGCTTTTTGCGAACGACCTGTTGCCTTGTTTCTCAAATTTAAGTGCGACTGAGGAGGCAATTATTGTGCGCGTACTTTATTTTTTTTCTGAACTTCTATTGCTGCCGACTTATACTATTAATGCCCGCATTACGAAATTTTTTACCTTCTCCGTCTTCATTGTAGGCCCATTATCTTCTTCTTCATTCCCAAGAATCCCTAGAGAAAACGCAAATTTCGTTTTCCTATTTGACAATCAGAAACCCGTTAAGCGTTTTACCTGTTTAACAGGAAAAAATTTGAGCGCAGAATACTCGACATTGCAATCATTTTGACAGCGTCGAAGGCTCATTTAGTTATGTTTTCAGCGTTCATGCATTGTGGACCATAAAAAAACTTACAAAGGGCATGCTGACAGATAACATTTGGTTTGTGTCTGGGTCCCAGTGCGCGGAGTGGTTTCACCTGACTCAGTAAATCGCTTTAAATTCTCCCTCTACTACGTCCGTCTGTTGTTTCTCTATTCACTTTTTATGTAGTCCTGCGTTTAACCAGCCTACTGTGGGTATGGAAAGGAGCGCTTAATTGTAAGATTCTGTCCAACGACCTTCCCAACCCTCGAAAAGGGGAGTTATTGTGAGTCACCCCCAAAAAGTCGAATATATATCATTTCATGACATTTGGACTAAAGCCATAAACCTTAATACACCGAGCCTCCTGGTCCATTAATGCCCTGGTTCTCCACCTAATTAGCTATTTGCTCAAAAAACCATCTATACGCTGAACACCGCCTTTTGCTAGAGTTATGCTGCAATGGTTGCACGCCTTCTCATCAAGGGCACTGACATAAGTAATCCACTAAAAGAAGGCGCCCTTCTCAAGTTTGACCCCTTTTGTTGACAAGCGGTATTATGAAATTTGGCATTTTCGGTGATGTTGCATAGCGAAGC